ACAGCAGGGCCTACCCCAGGCTTCCCAAGCGCATGCGCAGTGTGGCTAGAGCAGAATCCCACACAATCTGGCAACACGCAGCAAGACCTGGCTGCTACTTTGCATGTGAGCATCCTTGAGAGTTGTTTTGTTTAAATGGCTTGTTTTTGCATAGAATACAATGCATTAAAAGAAGCAGAAAAGTTATTCAGCTATAAGGGGATTACAAATAGCAGATCTTTATAGAAATGAAGACGAGTAAAACATTCAAGCGTACATTAAATACAACATAAAATAATAATAATAAAAAACAGACACAACTGAGACCATACACAGGTAACCGAAAATTCATAAAAACAAAACAAAGGTTATTCAACACCAAGGGAATCATATAGAGGTGGCCTAAACGACTTATTTATACCAGATAAAGAAAGGATAAAACTGTATATAATGAATACAAATTGAACATTTAACCATTTACTAAAGAAAATATAAAGTTTCTATAACTTCATACAGACAATACCCTGCTATCTTTTAATTGTTGTGTTTCGGTGTGAATTTTATGTTATACAAACGTTCCTAATATTTGGGCCACACGTGTCGCTCTTTCTCTTGGCCGAGCGCCAATTAGGTCAAATATGCACGTCAACCTATCTTGAAATTACCACAGTGCGCGCGAAAGTTTTAGTGCATGACGTGTTGATTGACAGGTGTGTTGTCCAATAGAAAGATGGTGCGAGTGCGCGACATACTGTGCCGCACAGTAAAGACGTTTAGTTCATAGAGGATACAAAATATTGTGTTGCGTCTGACTATTTTAAGAGCAATTGTGGATGAAAAGTTATTGCTTGTTTTAAACGAGGCCCAAGGCAATTTTACGTTGTTTATCGAAGGCTATTTAAAAACATTTACATAATTTGCATTAAGTCCATAGTACTAATTTCTGTAGTGAAAACATGTAAATGTTTCAGTGTGGTAGAAAGCACGCACAGACGTGTGGAAATGTTGATGTCTGTTCATGTTTAAATCTAACTCAACATGATACAATTCTGTTGTTTATAGTCAAATTAAAAAGGGGGGAAAGAAAAAATGCTCGTTTGAACACGCTATTCCTGCGAGTTGCACATTTTGCAAGCTGTTTTTCTGCTAATTATTGTTTAGCCTGTTAAAATGTCAGTGTGTGAGACAATAGTAAGTTACTTTATTTACTAGGCCTTTAACGTAGGCTAGTAATGACAACTCGAGTTTAGCCCACTGCTATTTTTCACGACGGAGAATATGTAGGAAATTATAATCATATTTTATCATAAAACGATTTGGCTTTGTTTGCCAGGCGCTGTTCTTATGATGAGTGGAGATCGCGTGACACCCAGTGGAGCAAAGCTTAGTCAACGCGCCACTGTAATGCAGTGGAAAAATAACCCCACGGTGGTGCTATTATCATATTCAATTCATCTTTTGACTCCATTTCTACGTTATATACAGCACATATTCTCGTTTTAGATATTTAAGTGATCATTTAGACCTGTGCAAATGTATAAATACGCACTCTTTAGGGGTAAATGAGGTACAAAATGAGGTTTACTTAGAAATTCTCTTTCCTTTTTTATGATTTTTGTATTCCCTTGTGGAAAAAGAAGTACATTTGATCATACTTTAAAAAATAATACTTATTAAGGAAATAGTATGCTTTAAAAGAATATTCTTAAGTGTGAACTGATGTTAATTGCAATTAAATAAAAATGCATTATAGTTTAAATTTATATTAAATGCAGTAGTGTTGGGGAAAGTTACTTTTAAAAGTAATGCATTGCAATATTGTGTTACTCCCTAAATAGCTACATATTACTTTTTTCATGTAACTAGTCTTTTACTATATTAGTCAACAAATCAAAATATGTGTACTCGTTTACAAAGTGCACTTTTTAACAAATGTATTAGGAACATTGTATCATAAAAGTTGAAGTGCACTTAAGCTGCCTTTTATTTCATAATTATTATCTACAAATACACTAAAAAAAATATTCATTGAATTTACTAAGTTTTTTAAGGTAAGTGGTTGCAAACAATTTATTTTAGCTACATTTAAAAAAATAACATGTTCTAAGTTAGTCAACTAAATTTGTTTATTTAAATGTAGCTAAAATAAATTGATGGTAACTAGTGCTGTCAAACGATTAATCGCAATTAATCACATCCAAAATAATGTGTACTGTGTTCATTTATTATGTACATATAAAAACACACACATTTAGTATATATTTTGAAAATATTTACATGTATATACATTTATATATTTATATTATTATATGTTATATTATATATAAATATATTTAATATATAAACAACATATTTTTCTTAAATATATACTGTATGTGTGTGTATTTATACACTCTAAAAAATGCTGGGTTGTTTCAACCCAATGTTGGGTCAAATATGGACTAACACAACTGTTGGGTTAAATTTTGCTTACATTTTTAAATGAGCTTTTTAACCCAACAGTTGTGTTAGTCCATGTTTGACCCAACATTGGGTTGAAACAACCCAGCATTTTTTAGAGTGTAGATACATAATAAATACACACAGTACACACACATATTATGCAAAAAAAAAAAACAGCACTAGTTGCAACCACTTACCTTAAAAAAACATTTAGTAAATTCAGTTAATCATTTTTTTCAGTGTACAGTTAACTTAAAAAATGATAGTTTTCTTCATAATTTTGGTTGTGCATGTGTGAGTTAAAACTGCAAATATTGCAAATAAAACAACTAAAACGAAGGATGAAAGAGAAGATGATTCTTTTGGTATTACGTTTTTAAATTAAGCTAATTATGCTTCTATTATAAAAATGTATTAAGTTTCAGAAGAATAAAGTAATCAGAGTTCCAGGGTCCTGGGTCACTTCAATTTACAACTAACCAGCAATGTTTGTGTTTCTAACCCAAATTAGATGATAACAAGATAAGCTTGAACAGGTCCAGTGTGTGTTTCATTTGTGTACTCCTCTCATACCTTTGGATTGATTGCGTTCGACGTCTTTTCACAGCCCCGAAGCTTCCTTTTTCACACTCAGTCCCCTACAAAACACCCACTACAGGACTAATGTGTTTTGAGTCGTACCCTCTGGGTCTGTCTGTCTAGAAGCGGAGATCTTCCTCATGTTCCCACTCTTAGTTTGTGTCACGTTTCTTAAAGGAAATGCAGTCACGATCCATGACGTAACCTACTTTGTTATTTCAGGCCCCAGTTCATCCTCACAGTATGACAACAGCTTAATAAATATATGTGTTTATGACAACAATAGACCATAAGCAAGATTTTACTAAACCGATAAAGAGATGTTTATCAGAAAGGATGCAGTTCATGAAACATGCTGTTTAGATGTACAAATCCAATTAAAATGGCAGTGATCGGAAGTGAAGTTTGATGAATGCTTTTTGACTAATCGTTGTAGATAGCGGGATAACAAAAACACACATTCATCAAGAGAAAGAGAGAATGAACCAGAGTCGCACTAGTGCTGTCAATAAATAAATGGAGAGGGAAAAAGTTTTATTTCGTTGTTCTTTGGTAGCATTCCAATATACAGTAAAACACAGTGAGTTTGGTCAAAATCACACTGCCACAATGAAGAAATATTTGATAATGCTTTTAATTCAAAAGACATGGCACAGTTACACAAACAGGAATGTTTGAACAGATAATAGACTTTATTTGGATTCTAACCCAATGTTGGGTCAAATATGGACTAACCCAACTGTTGGGTTAAATTTTGCTTACATTTTTAAATGAGCTTTTTAACCCAACAGTTGTGTTAGTCCATGTTTGACCCAACATTGGGTTGAAACAACCCAGCATTTTTTAGAGTGTAGATACATAATAAATACACACAGTACACACACATATTATGCAAAAAAAAAAAACAGCACTAGTTGCAACCACTTACCTTAAAAAAACATTTAGTAAATTCAGTTAATCATTTTTTTCAGTGTACAGTTAACTTAAAAAATGATAGTTTTCTTCATAATTTTGGTTGTGCATGTGTGAGTTAAAACTGCAAATATTGCAAATAAAACAACTAAAACGAAGGATGAAAGAGAAGATGATTCTTTTGGTATTACGTTTTTAAATTAAGCTAATTATGCTTCTATTATAAAAATGTATTAAGTTTCAGAAGAATAAAGTAATCAGAGTTCCAGGGTCCTGGGTCACTTCAATTTACAACTAACCAGCAATGTTTGTGTTTCTAACCCAAATTAGATGATAACAAGATAAGCTTGAACAGGTCCAGTGTGTGTTTCATTTGTGTACTCCTCTCATACCTTTGGATTGATTGCGTTCGACGTCTTTTCACAGCCCCGAAGCTTCCTTTTTCACACTCAGTCCCCTACAAAACACCCACTACAGGACTAATGTGTTTTGAGTCGTACCCTCTGGGTCTGTCTGTCTAGAAGCGGAGATCTTCCTCATGTTCCCACTCTTAGTTTGTGTCACGTTTCTTAAAGGAAATGCAGTCACGATCCATGACGTAACCTACTTTGTTATTTCAGGCCCCAGTTCATCCTCACAGTATGACAACAGCTTAATAAATATATGTGTTTATGACAACAATAGACCATAAGCAAGATTTTACTAAACCGATAAAGAGATGTTTATCAGAAAGGATGCAGTTCATGAAACATGCTGTTTAGATGTACAAATCCAATTAAAATGGCAGTGATCGGAAGTGAAGTTTGATGAATGCTTTTTGACTAATCGTTGTAGATAGCGGGATAACAAAAACACACATTCATCAAGAGAAAGAGAGAATGAACCAGAGTCGCACTAGTGCTGTCAATAAATAAATGGAGAGGGAAAAAGTTTTATTTCGTTGTTCTTTGGTAGCATTCCAATATACAGTAAAACACAGTGAGTTTGGTCAAAATCACACTGCCACAATGAAGAAATATTTGATAATGCTTTTAATTCAAAAGACATGGCACAGTTACACAAACAGGAATGTTTGAACAGATAATAGACTTTATTTGGATTCTGTCTGTACATTCAACATCACAATTCAATAGAGGGGTGTAACGTGACGTTTCAAGGTTGACTGGCTCTGGATCAGGACACCTGCAGGACGGGGTCTGGTGCTGCTGAAAATATTCATCAAAAATGTTTTTTTTAAAGACTTTAACAGATTCACTAGTATTAAAAAAATTTGTTTTTCACAGGTTTAATGTACACGAGTTTCTGTATTTTTGCCCTGTGAGATTAAAGTGACTCTAGACCCAGTGCACATGTAAGAAACGCATTGAAAAAAAGTATGGCTTAAACTGATTTTTCTCATTTGTAAAATAAAAAAAAATACCTGATTTTTCAATTCTTATTGTTTTACACATACTCATCAGATCTTCTTCCATTTCGTGGCTGCAGAAAAGAACAGAGAAAAATACTTACAGAAAAGTGTTTTTTCGAGTAATAAGAAAAAATAGTATCTTTAAAATGTGAAATACTGTAGGTCAACTAAAAATAAAACTATTAGTCATTTTCATAATTAAAATAAAGGTGACATAAAATACAACATTAAGTAAGCATTTACAGGTACATCTCAATAAATTAGAAGGTCGTGGAAAAGTTCATTTATTTCAGTAATTCAACTCAAGATTGTGAAACTCGTGTATTAAATAAATTCAGTGCACACAGACTGAAGTAGTTTAAGTCTTTGGTTCTTTTAATTGTGATGATTTTGGCTCACATTTAACAAAAACCCACCAATTCACTATCTCAACAAATTAGAATACTTCATAAGACCAATAAAAAAAACATTTTTAGTGAATTTTTAGTGAAATTCCTTGACACGTCTGTGTGTGGTGGCTCTTGATGCCTTTACCCCAGCCTCAGTCCATTCCTTGTGAAGTTCACTCAAATTCTTGAATAGATTTTGCTTGACAATCCTCATAAGGCTGTGGTTCTCTCGGTTGGTTGTGCATCTTTTTCTTCCACACTTTTTCCTTCCACTCAACTTTCTGTTAACATGCTTGGATACAGCACTCTGTGAACAGCCAGCTTCTTTGGCAATGAATGTTTGTGGCTTACCCTCCTTGTGAAGGATGTCAATGATTGTCTTCTGGACAACTGTCAGATCAGCAGTCTTCCCCATGATTGTGAAACTGAGAGACCATTTTGGAGGCTCAGGAAACCTTTGCAGGTGTTTTGAGTTGATTAGCTCAGGTCACCGTATTCTAATTTGTTGAGATAGTGAATTGGTGGGTTTTTGTTAAATGTGAGCCAAAATCATCACAATTAAAAAAACCAAAGACTTAAACTACTTCAGTCTGTGTGCATTGAATTTATTTAATACACGACTTTCACAATTTGAGTTGAATTACTGAAATAAATGAACTTTTCCACGACATTCTAATTTATTGAGATGCACCTGTAAACTTCAAAACTTAAATGAAAACTAAATATGTTGCTTTGCCACCTAACTGAAATATGTAAAGTATTAAAAAACTAAGAGATAATAAATAAATTAAACATAAAATTTTACTAAAATGCATGAACAATGAACAAAACAAGTTAGTATGTAAATATCATGTAGGATTGGAAGGAACCAAAAGTCATAATTTAACAATTCTGAAAAATACATATTTCTATTTTGAATTAATTGGTATTTTTTATTTTTAACTAATCTGAATATTATGGAAAACTACCCCCCTCAATGCCTATGATGGTTACAGCACTGTACATTGCTTTTCTACTAATGTAAAGAAGATCATTCAATTTCCATGTTGTGCTGAACAATAAACAGTAGTCATTCATATTATAACCTACCCGATAAAGGAAGTATCCTCTGCTCTGGATCCGTCCGGGCCCCTGAAGGTCATCCTGTGCACAGAAGGAATTGTTATCACACCACACTTTCTGACGTTGCTACCAAACTTTGTGTACACAACTTTGACTAACTCAGTCATCAGAGGTCTTCAGATGAATCAAAGGTTTGATGACGGCAGTGTTGTTAGGGGTTAAAAAGCTTTATCTACCCAACAATATCCATCAGGACCATTTCCTGTGTGAGAGTGAGGCAGTCATGTACTCTTGTTCAGTTTTGTCTTTTACCCTTATAGCACAAGAACACTTTTAGCGTACAATTACCTCTCAAATGGAGGGGAGCAATTAATCTAAGGTTGAGCCATTTCACATCCTGCACATACAATTAGATGGACTCAAACTCATGCATCCTTGTGTGTGCACAAGCACGGCTTACATAATACAGAAATTAATACTTGTAAATACAACAAAAAAATAAAAGGTACATATTAAAAATAGCCTTCTTACATTGGGAATTATAGTAAATTAATAAATATTAAATTTAAATTAAATGTAGTATACTCTCTATACAAGAAATATATAGTGCATAAATTAATATATCATTTTTATTATCATTTTAAAAAATATTTGGGGAGCAGCGATAAATTAACACTTATTTTTCATTAAAATGATCAAGACATTTATAATGTTACAAAAGATTTTTTTTTTTTCAAAAAAATGTTCGTTTGAACTTTCTGTCCATCAAAAAATCCTAAAAAAAATATTATCACGGTTTCCACAAAAAATATTAAGCAGCACAACCGTTTTTAACAATGAGAAGAAGAAGAAGAAGAAATCTTTCTTGAGCAGCAAATCAGAATGATTTCTGAAGGATCAGGTGACACTGAAGACTGGAGTAATATCAGCTGCAAATATCACCATAGGAATAAATTACATTTTAAAATATATTCAAATAGAAAACAGGCATTTAAAATTGTAATACTATTTCACAATATTGCTATTTTTATTTATTTTTAATTAAATAAATGAAGCCTTGGTGGGAATAAGAAACTTCTTTCACACAAATCTTATCAACCTCAAAGTTTTGAATGGTACCATATGTAATTCAAAAATGAATAATTAATTAGTGAATAAGACAACCTTATTTCCAGCATCAACCAGAGAAAGAGAGATAGGTTGTCCAGTAGTGGTGTATAAACACAGATACACACAAATCTGTCTGTTTTAATAATAATTAACACTTAGTACTTTAATAATTAACACTTAACACTTAATTAAATCAACAATTACTGATGGTCAGAAAAGAAGCCCTAGAGCTAAATCATGATGAGATATTATCAAACAGCATATGGCATTTCATCAAGCATCACAGAGGACTGAGAAGAACAGACACATGAACGTCCATCTAAATTTAAGTTGTTTTTGGTCAACTATTCATGCAATCACCACGTCAACTGTATGTATTTTTTTAACCTTTAAATAGGCTATCAGTTTTAAAGTAATACTGGTGGTACACTGACTTCTAAGATGGCGAATAGCTTGTTTATTTTTTACCACACGCTCCCCAATAATCTCTTCTGGGAGTAAAGGTCCTTGCACACTGAATCCAAAATTTTCGTATGCGTTTTTCGGTTGTTTTTTTTCGTATTCGACATCCATTCCTATCAAAATGCTTGCTACGGATGCGAAAATGCAGAAAATCGAACCGGATCTGATTTTTTTTATGATGGACGAAAGTTTCGGAGGCAGTGTGTAAATGTGATTGACACAACGTGAGCTCGTATTTATTTTTTAATGTGCGAATGACATTTAGTTTGATGAGCAGGTATGGAATTCTGCGAAAAAAGGATGAATTGCTTTACGGCAGCAACAAACGCACATGTGCAGCTATGCACTGTAATTATGACAGCGAAATCCACTTGCATCACTGTAGGGGGCTCCAAAAATACACAAAGCTACATATAAGTGCTGTAATATTTAACGGCAATGGACTCTATTTATTTCCAAGACCATGGAAAAACTCTTGAAAACTCATTAGCAGAGGCGGACAAAGTACTCAACTCCATTACTTGAGTGAAAGTATAGATACCGCTGGTCAAATATTACTCCATTACAAGTAAAAGTTGTAAAGACAGATTTTTACTTAAGTAAAAGTACAGAAGTACTTGCTTTTAAAAGTACTTAAGTACCAAAAGTAAATTTCCTTTTTTACAGTGGGTACGGAAAGTATTCAGACCCCCTTAAATTTTTCACTCTTTGTTATATTGCAGCCATTTGCTAAAATCATTTAAGTTAATTTTTTTCCCTCATTAATGTACACACAGCACCCCATATTGACAGAAAAACACAGAATTGTTGATCAATTACATAATTAGGTGACAAAATATGAATTATTTCTTATGTTTAGTACAGCTAAATGTCCTAAACTTGAATTTTGAATACCAACCCTGGACATACAGTATTTAGTCACTTACCCAAACTAAATATTGCTTTAGTAGTTATTTTAGTTGTTCTCAGGGTGTCATACTCACAGCGCTAATGTAGTCTGAATGAAGGTAAGCATGCAGGATACATACATTTAATTTCATTCTCCTGCTTCTTCTTCTGGCAAGCTGGGGTATGAGCTCCAGAAGAGGGTGCAACACAGTAGACTGACACATACACATATATAGAGAGATATCATGAAGACAGACATGGAGAGATATGAAAACCATGAACATCTGTTCCTGGCGACTGGCCAGGGGTCGCAGAGAGGATTCATTTAATACACACGTGTCTGTCCTCAGTGCGACTCAGTGTTCATTTTGCACACACGGTGCATTGATGTTCAGTAAAAACGCAGTCACATGCAGGCCATGCCAGAGCACATGACAACATACAATGTGAGGGAGTGTTTAAAAGCAACATATAGCAATTTGTTACAAATATGCAGTACATTTGGCTGCATATTTGAAACGAATCTCAACTGGCATAGAAATATTTTAAAATGTAAAATGAATCAATAAATGTCTGTATGATACACGTTTAAAGAAGAAATGTGGTTAACATGCAAGGAATGGACAGTTGGGAGGAAAAGACACTGAACACTTCCTCTGACTGCATCAACACAAAATGGCATGTCAATTCAATTTGGAATTAAAATTAAAATTAGGTTCTATTCTGTTTTGCGTTGCTGCCAAAATTCTGATATTAATTCACAAAAAAAAAAAAATCTAATATTTCAAGGGAATATCTAGTGCAAATGATAACATTTAGGTTATATTTAGGGAAGAAAGTAATTTATAAAATCAATGTAATTATTTTCTGTTTCTGTCATAAGTGTGAATGCTGTCAAGGAGGAATCAAAGGATATCAGAGGTTACATGCATGCAATGGGAACTGAAGAGTAGATAATTTTAAATACTGTATGATGATAATCTGATAATTATCTGAAATAATCTGAATACTAAAGATGCATTTAGTGGTCTGCTATTTTTGCTATTAGACTTAGTGGAAACATTAAGATAATATACAGGTAAAATGATCAAATAATTTCAAGTAAAATTAATATTTTATATCCACATATTTATTTTATTTTATTTTATTTATTTATTTTGCAGTTACTTACATTATCCTTTATATCCAGTTTCCTAAGAATGTGGCTATATTGCATTTTGATTTTCCATTACCTTGGCCCAAAAGGGAAATGTGCAGTGGCCTAAAATACCATTTATTTCATTCACTTGAGCTTTAATTAATGAGTATTATATCCCTAATTAGGATATGCAGTTGGGTGTGTTATTGAAGACAGTGCAGCGTAGCAACAGTGGCTGAGTGTTAAAAGCAACATACACTTAAACAACCCGTGAGGTAACCTACCGTCCCATCTGACAATCCTGCACCGTTCGGTTTAGTGTAATGAAATAAAAACTACACATACATGTATAGACACACAAATACAAAACCCAAACAGAAGTTACACAAACACCAAAAATCAATAAGACAAAAACATGAAAAACATTCATAGAATGAAAAAAAAACAATATCCATAAAAAAAAGACATTATCCGTATAAAAAAAACATACAATTACAATCAAACATACATGAATAGACAAAGATAAAAGGATGCTGATGTTATGGTGTCACTGAATTGTCATTGCACTGAATGTGTCTGATACGACCTCAAATTAAGACTGCAAATGTCATACACTCACCCTTTTGCTGGTCTCTCGAGCTGTGATCTCCTGCATGTACAAAAAAAAAACAGAAAAATGAATCGTCTTTTCATTAATCGATGCATTACTATATGGATAACTAGACCCAGACAGATTTTTGCACAACTATTTAATAAACAAATACGCAAAGGTTGGCGATGATGTGTAGAATATTTGTGAAATCTTCTGCGTGTGCTGATTGTATGTGGGCATGAATAATATTCACCTCCGATTTTTGCAGTGATCCCAGCATTAGGAAACACAGGTCCTCCAGGACATCAGATGTCTGGCAAAGGTTAAAAGAAATGGAAATGGAAAGTTTAAGCCTTTTACTGTGCTTATAATCCTTAAATAATTCACTGTTCCGGGAAAAAAATTATCAGCATTTTTTTTTTTTAAATGCTTGTAAATCGGAAGGCCATTATGCTATATTATTACCAAATTCTGGATTCAATCTTTTTGCCAGCTTGTTTTCTTTCATTTTAACTTCTTTTCGTTTTATGGATCAGATCTCTGTAGAGCCGCTTTATAGCTTCAAATGAGTTTATTATTGATGAGTTTTGCAACATCAACACTGTTATTGAACTGAGATGAATCAACATGGAATTGACTTGAGCTGAATAACAATACTGTCTTCATTTGAGCTGTTTAATGCTGAACTGAACTTATTTTAAATTATTGAACTTTAACAGTTCAACTGAACTGAATCAACAAATGAGCTGACTGGAACTGAATTAATGTCAATAATTTCTTGCCACAGCTGCTTTACAGCAGAATTTGAATTGGTCTTATATTTGGTGAAGTTAGAATCACTGATTCTGTTACTTCCCCATTTAAAACTGTAAATCTGCCTTGAAACAATCTCTATTGTGTAAAGCACTATATAAATAAAGGTGACTTGACTTGGGCTCTCAAAAACTCAGCTCAGATCTCTGAGGCCTATGACCAGTCAGTTCCAAGAGAAATGCAAATCTAATCAAAAGAAAACAAGTTGACAAAAAGATTGAATGAACTAAAATTGTAACGGTTCAATACGTCCAGAACACAATATGAGTGTTAAACATTTGTGGCTGAGCCAAATGAGTCTGCCTTGTACTGAAATTGTTGATGGTGTTAAATTATTGAAATTAATTGTTATAGAAAAGCACAATTCACTTGGTTCACTGGGATTCACAGAGCAGTTAGCCATCTGTTAGCACAAAGTTTCTCTATATTTCTCTTTTACAGTTATGCCATAATCCACTCTCGGTTTGGTTCCTCAATAATACACAGTAGCTGTATTGCAAATGGCAACAACGCTGCATTACTCACTCTAAAGGATGGGTCTGCAGAGAGGTAGAACGAGCACAGTTCAGTTATCTACAACAAAAGAGAAATTCAGTTGTAATTTTAGGGCTTGCATAAATGAAGATTCAAAGAGCAAACTCAAAATGAATCACATATCATTTATGTGTTGCGCTGTTCATTTCAGCCCATGGCCATAAACATGCATTAAACCGTGCTTTCATATCCCAGCCTCTAGATCCCCGGGTTTACCCTTAATTTCTCACGTGCACACAGTTAGCACATGTAAACAAAGCACAGACGTAATCATCACCTTAGAGAGTAAAGTTAACAGGTATTGAAACTGAACAAATATAAGTCATTTATAATAAACTTTTGTCTCTGAGCAAATTTGTATATAACTAGAGGCAGTATAGATAGGGATTTATTGGGAGAGTTAATCTATATGGTAAAAATGAAAGAGCTCATAAGTACGTTTATTGACAGTAAATCATACACACCTGGGTTAGTAACTGCTCATGCCCTATTGAAGGATTCAAGAGCACTGGATCACCTGCAATCCATGCAGAAATCATTATTACATATATTCCAATAATAATGTTTAGTGTTGTATGAATTTTGCATGGAAAAAAATCATGTTGTTGACACATTGAATTCTACAAAGCATACTCTAGTTTTGTCCACTTATAATGATTCCAAAGTCTCCATTGGTCATAATTATTTGGCCAGTGAAATCAATCTGGAAGCCTTGACAGCTGTAATCTTTGTGAGGTTTAGTTGTACAGGTCGGAAATTAATTACCTCTGCTTATCGATTTTCTTGTTTTTGGTGATTTTGACTTCTTGCCTCAGTGGAATAAGCTCCAATTTAACTGAGTTTGTTTATTGATCTGTTGTATAGGTCTCTCAATCTGGCTTTCCTTTTTGAACCATTACTGTCAAAAGGTGTTTTCTGAGAATGATTTATGGGACCTGTTTAAGACCTGGAAAAAGTGAGATCAGTCGGCTGTAACTAGTCAAAAACAACCACAATAACAAACAATAGTAAAGACCCCCCCAAAAAAGAGAAAAGGTCAAATCTGTTGTTATAAACTTGCATCTCTTATGACATTTAACAATCAGTGCTGATGGTATAATTTTATCTGTGTATTAATAAATGAGTCAAATAGTTGTCAAGGCTACTAATCTGTCAGCATCTGTCCTGGCATTTCTGGATTTCTTACATTGTTATAATATTATTCAAATTCTTGTGACATCACTGCTGTCAAAACTGACTCCACTGTGCAATAATATTCTCACAATAATTCCTCTCAGTGACATCATAATTATCAGTTACGCGACTGAATCTAATTTGGTGATATTGCTCTTGGTGTATAGAGCGAATTCTTTATTCCTATACTGCAGATGATCAAGCAGATGATCATTTTAATCCTTGTGGTGTAATGATTATTCACAAAATGAATCATATGCGTAATACTGTTTCTCATTTTGCAGGTTTAATGGGAAACATCCAGCATTTTTTATTGTGCTAATTAGATTCAACCTAACAAGGCACTTTAACAGAATCCACTGCCCCACGTATATGCAGTAAGCTCTTAGCTAATGCATCACAATGACGCATTCCTGCTTATTATCTACTGACACACTAATGCAGCACATTTTGAACCACAGACAAGAGTTCTAAGCCTTCAATAAAGATCAAAATTATTTTCAAACATGAAATCAGTAAAAAGTCAATCTAAAGACAAGATAAAGACAGAAGTCGCAGTGGTGGACAGCAACAGTTGTTTTTTAATACCTGTTGCGATATTTATGTATTCCATCCATTTAATTTGTCACAATAAAGGTCATAATTTCTACTTGATCTTTATACATATATAAAACATTTTATCCTCATCAGTAATTTAATCCAGTGTGATTAAGTGGAATGAACTGAACTGTGCAGATTTTTACATTTATACAAGTACACTTTTATATATACCCTAGTAAAAAAGTTATATATTTAAAATACATTTATTTCATACTACGTGTAGTTCAAATCTATTAATATATTTACTGACATATCGCTTGAGACTTAAACTTTCTTTGGAGTACTACTTGTGCACAATGCACATTTCTCAACAATTCTTATTAATTAACCTAAAATGTCACTATTGATGAGGATTGTATGGTTTTTTAATAATCTCGTTTTTTAAATGCAAGATATTTAAAGTGTACCTAAAGTACACTCGCAATAGTTCCACTTTAGCACAATCAAATATACTTCAGCTACTTCTGCACAGTTAAAGTGCATTAGGCACAAAATTAGTTCGTCCAATTTAGCAGACTTTAAGTATACCCGTTTAGAATAGCAAAATTACAACTGCAGGGTATTTTTATTAATACATAATATGTAAATGCATTTGCAGTATACTTAGCATGAAATAAATGCATTTCAAATACATTTTTGTATATATATATCAACAATGAATGATTGGTTTTAAAAATCACTGTTTGAGATATTAAATGATCTCAAACTAACTGATCTTCAAAAGCTTCTTTTTGATTGTTACTGTTTGATTTGTAAGGTTTCCAGAAAAATATAATGCCACACACACACACACACACACACACACACACACACACACCATGTCTGGTCACCCACAGCCACATAATCACTGTGTATACATCTGACATAACAGAACCAGGAAATAACAAGTTACTTAATTAAAAAAAAAAAAAATTATTCATAAATGTTTTTATCAATTCATAAAACACATAAATGCTATTTAACAGCATAGCGCCACTGGGAAATATCGGCTAAATATCAAAGTGAATAAATAATCAGTGAATATCTCTTACAAGAGGGTTATTGCTGGAGTTTTGGAGGATTGGGACTCGATGACTGAGTAGCTTCAGGAGGCCTGAAATAAATATAATGAGAGCTTTCGCACAGGTTAAAGAGATAATTTATTCGGCAAGAGGGACAGGAGAGGAATGAGGTAGGAGTGAAATTAAGAGGATTAATCAAAGAAGAACATCAAGAAAACCAGACTGCAGTCAAAACAGACAGGTGAGATGGAAACACATATAATGCACATTAACTAAATGAATATGTGATTCATCCTATATGGTGATTGAAAAGTAACATTAGCATGAGCAATTGTTAATCACCAAAGTCAGAAGTGAGTCACCATATATTACATGTAGGATTTCCCTGTAGTTTTCACACTACATTGGAAATGATATATGTAGGATTTTCCTTGCAGTTATTTAGAATAAACTTTAACATAAAAACTGAATTTATTTAATCGACCACTCACTTTTTCTGATGAATAACAAAAGCAGTTTTATTTTAAAAATAGGTTTAATTTTTCACTGTTTTGTGAAGAAGAAAAAAAAACTTAATGGACTTTTTGCCCTATTATCAAACACTTTTGATTTCAGAATAAATTATTAATGCATAACAAATCCGCTTGTGCATGGATTCTAATATGAATCAACCACCAAAACATAAATGAAAACCTACTTGCAAGTGCATTTTTAAGGTTTAGTTAACCCAAAAATAAAACTTCATTTACTCAGTCTTGTTCCAATCTTTTATTACAGGACCATAAAAAAGATGGATGGGGATAAGAGGAAACCCCAAAAACGTTAAGGTACCACATGTCTGTAATTCTTATGAAGCTCTTTATTTACACTACAGTGTCAGTAAAGTGCAATAGCTTTAGGTTAATGGATGGGGCAGAGTGTCAGATAAGATTAATTAAAACAAGTGGCAAGAGATGATTTATTGTGTTTGGTGGGGGGGGGGGGGGGGGGGGGTTATTGGCTTATGTAGGCTACCGTCTCACTTATTGGGCAACTTGGGGTCTCTGTGACCCAGGAGCACCATGGGAAAAATGTGACTCAGCTTCAAGCTAAGTGATTAAAGTATGACTCACACAGCAAGTTTATCAGCATTCATCTCTCCCGTCATACATCCACTCATTTCCCCACCCATTCCTACAACACCACCTACACACTCCCAAACACGTTTCCCCAACAGTATTTAGTTTGCCCAGCAGTTTTAACACACAAAGTTATGCCTGTTGGATCAATATATGGAAGGCAACATAATGTAAAACATGTAGCATCGGAGTAATTTGCCATTTAGAGAGTACATGTTGTGCCTGACTCTTAACATACAACACATAAAGAGCCTCTTATGTGCGATGATTACAGAACACATGTTGGATTTTCAGTTATCATTATGAAATAAAACAGCCCTGACATCCTGCGTCTGGCTGTTGTTTCCGAACAGCTGAAATGTTTTTGAAATGTTGTGCTTTTATACTGAAAAAATACATCCAAAGCCTTACAAATGAGTCAGTAGACCTAAACAAAAACATTTCCAGCTTTTATACCCTGAAATTTTTGGGAAATAATTTACTCCACGGTAAACATACTCATACCCATAAACATCCATTTATAAATGTCAACAGTCATTTACTTTAATGCGAAAATGGTGGTATCTTTTTCACTGTAAAAAATGACAGTGAATTTAACGGTAAAAGACTGTAAAAATGCTACAGTAAAAATGCTACAGTATTTTTGGGAAATAATTTACTCCACGGTAAACATACTCATACCCATAAACATCCATTTATAAATGTCAACAGTCATTTACTTTAATGTGAAAATGGTGGTATCTTTTTCACTGTAAAAAATGACTAAAAATGAATTTAACGGTAAAAGACTGTAAAAATGCTACAGTAAAAATGCTACAGTAAAAACCTGTTAAATGATAAACGGTAAATTCCCCTACTATATACGGTGAAAAATTGTATTGGACATTACATGTATTGGACATTAATTTTACGGTAGTATACTGTTTTTGGAAGTGAAAAAGACCGTATAATTTACAGTGAATAACCGTAAATTGATATTCCCAGAATTCCCTCCGTTACATTTCAAATCTGATGATTTTTTGTTGAAATAACTATGTTTCTTCTTAGTTTTTTTCTTATCAGTTTTGTATATTAGGGTTGTGTGTTACACCTAATGTTGTTAAATGAATGTTTATTGCATTATTTCAGTTTCATGTGTGAATGACACTGTGCACCTTCTATATATGTTATGATCTAAAAGCTGCTTGTGATGGGCTTTGGTTCATCATGTGACTTTCTCATCACCACCTGCATTTGGTGGTTATCAGTGTATTGCAAAGGTGCAAAACAGATTTCAGTACTTCAATAGGTTGGTATATTAACATTATATCAGTTAATGAAATTACGGTATTTAACTGTAAATTTACGGATTTTTTGTACCGTTGTTTACCATGAAAAAAGAACGGGTAATTAACCTTATCAATATGGCAAGATACTGACATTATGACATTATGACTTCACAGCAGTCTTGGAAAATCAATAGGTAGAGAGCAGCTGCACACAATGTAGCCGCATCTGATAAGCCGATGTAATTAATGCTTCCGCTGAGTACGGCTACGGCATCAGAAAGGGAACTCCAGCCTGAGGGAATAAACACTGATATTTCAGCGTACTAATCAGAGGCCGTGGTGTCTTTCAGATGGACAAGGAGTTTATCAGGCAGTGTGCTCTGCAGAAACTAAATGCTTTAGTCCAGGCATGGGCAAACTCTGTCCTGGAGGGCCAGTGTCCCTGCAGAGTTTCCCTGCGTTCCATTCGGAAGGGCTCTAGGGCCCTAATCCCTTCAAAGGGGTTACGCTCCGGAGTGAAAGCTTCGAAGGATTGAAGGGTGTAGGGGTTTCTTGAAGTGCCCTTCTGCGTCATCACCCCGTGTCCATATGGAGGCGCCATCATCATGCATCTGCGCAAAGAATCATGGGGGTCGAAGTGTCCATCAGTTGTTCCCTTCGAAATCCTTCATTCCGAAGGGCCCTTTGAAGTGGCCAGTTTTGAGCACTTCGGTTTGGAACGACCCTTCAATATGAAGAAAACACTAGCATTAATTCTGATCAGGATTTTTCTTGAGAAAACGAAGACAGTCTGACGTTCGTCGTAGGAGAAGTCACACTGCAAGACTGTGCGCCAAATCTTCTGACACTGCCAGAATTTCGTC